GGCGAGTACACACACCTACAGAAGAGCCGAAGCCCCAACCAAAATATACCAGTTCCCCTGCCCACAAAAGACAGCGGGAAGTTTACCAACACCCCAGGTAGAGGGGGGCACATGGCTCTCCACTATCGGCCATGGTGGAGGGTGTGATGGCCTCCGTCCAGGACAAAGGGATGACTGGGAGCCACAAGAAAATACTTCAACCTAGTCGCCCGCCCATTGCATCCAATAACTGGGAGCAATGATGGTAAGAGTGTCAAAAGTTTCCACTGATAAGGGCCAAAGAATAAACAGGGCCAAAACCTGCACAGCAGTAAATAGAGCTCCCACATAACTGGACACCCTCTGGCCATTACTTTAACCTTTGTCGCAGAATTGGTCTAACGTTTGCTGCTGATACACGGTATCAAGCAAACCACAGAGACCCAAAAGACAATTGAGCACAAGCTCAAGAAATTTGAAAAAATATCGTCACCTTCAAGAACGCAGGAGAGAAAAGAGAAAAAAATATATATATATGCGCGAGTCCAGTACGTCGGAAAGCGAACTTTATGAGTCAATTTCAAGTAAACCTAGATCCTCAACTCCTGTTTCAACTTCCATGGCGTGTTCATCAGACTTCATGGATACCACGGTAATATTAGCAAGTCCCAACAACCTAGAGGACTAAAGATTATGCAATGGAATGTAGAAGGGCTGCATACAAAATTGTAATGCAAAACAGCAACCAAAGGCAAAAACATCCCGATACTACAGCAGAGCTTACTTCGAGCCGGACTAGAACTGAAATTATCTGGCTTTTTCCTTCCATGGGTCAACGGGTAATCCAGGGGATGTGCAATTGTTGTGAAATGTGACCTAATATCCAAACCCATAACCACCCCACCCGATTGTGGAGCAGGAACGGAGGTAATTTGGAGTATTTATATCGAGCCAAGACAAACTTTAAAAAATCTTAAATGTTTACACCGCTCCACGTGCTGAAATAGATCTCTTATTTAGACACTACTATATCCCACCCTTGGATGTGGGTGGGTTCCAAGAATGAACCCACCCACATCCAAGGAGGTAGATTTGACCCAACCTTAGTTTCAGCCTCCCTGAGAAATGCAGCAACATGGTCAGTTGAGCCCACTCACAAGCGACCACTATGGGGTCCAGATTGATCGTAAGTTAAATCTACCGACCCCACCTCCATCTGAAACCTTTAACTTTGCTTTAGCAAAATGGGACCGATTTCAAAACCATTTCAGAGTGGCATAGAAAATAATATGTTCCCAAAGACATTAAGTCGGGCAGAACAAGATTTTGCTGATGCAATTCAAAGTGCACACAAACGCTAACCCACTGAAAAAAACTATTCAGACACCAAAGATTACCGGTACTATTGCAAACGTGTTAGAACTCGGACTCAACAGCACAATGGAGCTATATAAAAAAAAAAACAGCCAAGTGACCATAACAGGACTTTGTGAGGTCAAGGAACATGTGCAGCAAGAGACCAGGCTAATAAACACGAAAGTGGCTAGAATGGTGTTTACATCTGAATGACCACCTTAGAGGTGGCAGCAAATCCACTGGGCCAAAGGAAATAAAACACCTAAAAGCCCCACACCTTAAGGATCCGCATCAGAAGCGGAAGTACTGGCAACCAGGAGGCAGAAAGCAGCCAGTACTCAACTTGCAGATGTACTGGCAGTGCAGACCGGAAGAAAGGTGGCACAGAATCTTTACAGCATTTGCAGAAGTTTGACACTAATAACCATTACACACTAGACGAGCACAATTTAACTAATAAAAACTCCAAGAATACATCCCCGAGATACTACAAAATAACCTATAAAATGATTAGGAACCTCTGCCCAGAGGGAGACGCTGCACACTTTATGTTAATTAATCGAGCCTGGACTTCTAAAACTAAAGCTAGAGCTTTTAATAGAGCAAACGGTACCGATCCCAAAACCCAAAGATTCAGCAAAACCCAGGCCCATTTCTCCAAAGCTGAGCAGCAAAGACAGCCAACAGAATGACACTCGACAGACTTTAGTGGAAAATACCTAAACTGTACCATGGTATGTATGACTATAGACGAGAGGTTGGCTCAGTGGACTGTATTACAACTGTTACCTCACTTTAACGACAGACCAGGAGGGCCGATATTCCTGGACCACGAGAAAGCCTTTGAATTGGCTACTCTCTGCTGCCTTATTTATAAAGAGGTCAAAGTTAACCTGCTCTCCTGGACTAAAAGCTGTCTCAGAAGCAACACACTTCATGGCACAGTTTCTCAACACAGAAAAAAAAAAAGAGACATGAAAATGATACACCGAAAGGCGGCATTTTTAGCCCCCCCCCCCTTCCTCTTTAATTGTTTAATGGAAAAAAGAGAGGTTAAAACTCCCACAACACTGCAGGCTGCCAAACTACGCAGACGACTGTCATCATCAAGAAAGGAAGGGATGAGGCGTGCCTTGCACCCAAAGACTGCATCACTGAAGAGGCAAAGCAGATTGGTATCAAACTCAACCCCACAAAGACAAAAGCCATGTCCATAATAAAAGCGAAGCCCAGCGTGTAGCTCATAGTACAGGGTCAAGCAATTGAATGGGTGATCACTTAGTATATAGGAATAATCATGGACATAAGAATTTTAATGCCGAAGTCACTTTAGAGAACAGCGGCTCAGACAGCAATCTTCAGGTCACTAACCTCCCTCTCTGGAGGAGCCAATCTGCAAGTCCTTCGCACATACGATGTACAGGCAGTCAGACCAGTAATCTACTATGCCGTACCTTCACTCAAGTATCACACCAATAATTGAAAAAGCTTGAAATTGCTCCAAACAATGCTACGAGAACTGCCCTGGGAGCCCGTATGTGGACTAAACTTTAAACTACACTGGAAACGGGTTTGCCCTCTCTTCAAGAACGAATATCAAAGAACAGCTACGTTTATCAGCAAGATAATTATTTCCCCTGATCCAGTCCCAGTACGGCAGGCCTTTGTGGTTGGACTTTGCCAAAACGGAAACTCTTGGCCTGCCAGAATGGGAAATTTCCTAAACATAATTAAAAAGCACGATTTTTGATAGCGTGATCAATCACACCCAAGTTACACTTGTTCCCCGCCATGGGAGGAGCCTACCTTCAAAATAGTAATAAAAGGTCTTCCGATTAAAAAGGAAACCTACAATCCCACAATCCTAAAGCGCATCATAGAGAAGCAAATGTGCAGCATTCCAGTAGCAGGACCCACCCACAACTTCACAGACGGATCGGTTTAAACAATATGAGTGTGCTGGCGCTGCTCTTTGCACGGACAGTAAACAGGCATATTGGAAATCATAAGGACCAGCATCAACCAAATCCGAGCCGTTTGACAAACAGGCATTCGCACATGCGATTGTGTAATGGAATTTCGAGTTTCGTGCAGACTCAAAAGCTGCACTTCAAATATTAGGAAAAAAGCAGTGGAAAGACTACGTGGAAATAATTACCAACATTTTGTATCTGAGCAGTCACTAAAGGCAAAAGACTCAACATCACCCTAAACTGGATCCCGTCCCATGTGGGAATCCCCTTAAATGAGAAAGCTGATGAAATTGCACACGGATGCCATCAACACTGCCACTCTTATGGTAAAAAACAGGCATCCAGCAGCTGGACACCCTCAAATACTGTCAACCCCGCGATAGCAGCCCAACGATTAAATTTTACCACTTACGAGCTATTCATGCCCGTGCCACTTTTTTGGTGGCTTAATCTTCATCAATCGGTAGAATAGCGAATGTACTTCCAACACCTGTTGTACCTGATGACCTTCCTGCTGCCACAACTGCTACCATACCCTCCGCCCTGGTCGCAAGTCTCACTGCCTTCACCTCCACTCTACAGACTACCACCAGATCGACCACGAAAACTATAACAGACTAGAACCACCCAAGGCCCGGGTGGCACAAACAGTATTTCCTTCACCAGTTCCCAACACTCCTACCATCACTATCCCGGCAGTAATGCCAGCAGACGTGCCGTTTACAAATTCTAACAGCACCACCAATGCTCCTGAAATAGCTTCTACCAGTAATCCACGACACCCGAGCCTACCTCAGGCTGCGGGATTAAAGACACCAACTACGTATGTTACAGACTCTTCAGACTGAAATTTTAGGAGGAGTCTTTCGCCACACCACAAATATCACACCTACTTTATACAAGATGACCTCGAAGAGGTCACCTCACCAAACTTCAACGACAGCACTGATCAGCCAAAGTCTCAGGCAAACAGAAAACAGAAAACCTGGAGGGCTATACTAACCCACCAGCTCCATAATTGGTACCGCTAGCCCTTCGGAGTTGAAATTCACAATGAAAACCGAAATCCATCCCCCAGGTCTTTAGTATCAGTTACCGATCCTCATAATGGATCTGGAAGAGCTTCCACTTAGGGTCTCCATAGCCCATTCTACTTTGAACTTTTCGTTTATGTAGCAGACTTTACAATAACAAAATACTGTTACTTATCCGAGCGACACTGATGAGCACGAACCGCCCAGTGAAAAGTAGAGTGACTAGATAGCCAGAAAACATTGCCATTATAAAAGTCTCACTTTCCAACCTCCTTCCAATCCTAGAACAAAGGGGAAAGTATCCTAAAGTGTACAGGTTACGGCAGTGAGCGAGACAAGCTGGGTGTGTGCAAGCCTGCGCGTCTTGTACCCACCGTTTTATCGAGCAATAGAAACCACTGGCTCTCGGCCGAGCAGGGTTATTGAAAAACTAAACTAGTCAATAGGTAAACCCCAAGTGGCGGCAGCTCAAGGAGGGAGAGGAAAGGGTCTATACATGTCCACTACACATGGCTCCCACGTTTAAAATTTGATCCAATTATTAAAGAAAACAGTCTTGTCAATATTTAGATTGAGACTTAAAAAAATTCAAATGAAGGAATAGAAACGGCAGGATTAGAGAACAACATTTTACCGATATTTATCTTCAGTAGCTGTATTTTAACTAATACTCTAATCGTTTGATTACAAACCGTACGACTCTTGCTTCATGAAGCAGTGATTGCAAATCCAACCATTTTATTCCCATAAAACCATTAGAACAGTAACCAACTCGGACCTTTGTGGTTTGAAGAAGGCTAGGCGGAAGGAGGGTGCTGGGCAGGTGGGTCTTCATCACTCTAGGAGCAGGTAGAGCCTCGCTCATCTGCAGAAACACTCCGTCTTCAACCTTCTTGCCTGGACACATTTGACGAAACATTTCTGTGAACTGCTGAGGATTCTCAGTGCTTCTGATGGTCTTGCTGTCAAGCATCATGTCAAAACTGGAAATGAATTAATATTATTAATATTAATATTATTAATGTTGTTGTTGTTATTAATGTTAAGAACACAAGAACAAAGGTAACTGCAGAAGGCCTATTGACCCATACGAGGCAGCTCCTATTTATAACCACCCAATCCCACTCATATACTTGTCCAACCCGCGCTTGAAACAATCGAGGGACCCCACCATCACGTTACGCGGCAATTGGTTCCACAAATCAACAACCCTGTTACTGAACCAGTTTTTACCCAAGTCTGTCCTAAATCTAAACTTATCCAATTTATACCCTTTGTTTCGTGTTCTCTCTTTGTGTTGATATTTTTAATACCTTATTAATATCCCCCCTGTTATGTCCATTCATCCACTTGTAAACCTCTAGGTCTGGCCCTAGCTTCGGTACGGGGCGGACGTGTTGAATCGGCACTCCAGCAGTTGGTGTTGTTTGCCCGTTTCGGCCGGTTGGGGGCGGGTGTGTCTCTGTTCGCCTGTGCTGACGTGGCGTTACGATGGGGGTCCCTCTACCCCCTGTCGTCCGGGCTCAGTCTGTGGGACTAGAGTTTTCTGTGCGGGCTGGTTACCCAGAGATTGCCCTGGCTTGTGAAATGCTCTCTGTCCGTGTTTGCGATTTATGGGGTCGAGTTGGTGACGGCCCGTAGGGCAATTGTGAAGTTTGCAGAGGTGGCGTATCGCGATTTTCTCCGGCGATACGAGGGGCGGACACTGCCCCTGCCGGATGGTGCGGGCACTGTCACCCTCTCGGATCGGAGTGGTGCACTTACTTACATCAGTGTGCATGGGGCTCCCTTGGAGTTTCCAGAGGCTCTGCTACGGCGGTATTTCGGCCGGTTTGGCGCAGTTGTTAGTGTGAGAGTGAACGTGGTGTCTTCTAGTCCTCTTAAGGGTGTGAGGTCTAACATTCGCACCCTGGGCATGAGACTCCGGGCGGATATTCCGTCCTCTGTGCGCCTTATGGGGTACAACGTTCGGGTGTTTTACGCCCGTCAGCCGCGGACGTGTTATCGTTGTGGTCTTTTGGGCCATCAGGCTGCTGACTGTTCTGCGCCTGCTGTTGCACCAGTGAATCTCTTCAGTGAGGACGATTTTCCGCCCCTTCCTGTGGGGGATGATTCGGTGGGTATGGACGTCTCTTCGGCTGAGGAGGTGCCCTCTGTAGCAGCTGTTGCTCCGCCTGTTGCGCCACCTGTTGTTGCCGCATCTCCTCCGGAGGTTGGGTCCTCGCCTAGTGCTCCAGCTGGTGTCCCTGAGCCTCTTCCGCCTGCCGTTTGCTCGGACCCCTCGTCTTCCAGTTTTTCCTCAGCTGTGTCTGTCCCGGTCCCTGCGCCCTCGCCGTCTGTTCCGGCTGTGCTGGGAGATGAGGTGGTTCCGGCATTCCCTCCTGTGCCTGGCCTGGTGCCCCGTGTGGTTGAGGAGGCTGCCGTGCTGCGGCGTGCGTCGGTTCGCTCGGTTGATGCTGCGCGGGTCGCTGAGTCTGCCTCCGGGTCTGATGATGTGCGGCCCGAGCCTAAGCGTTCCCGGCGTTCTTCTGCGTGGGCTGATGTTGGCGAATTCGACGAGTGTCGTCCTTCCGTTGACGGTGGGGTGGCTCCGGATGTGGTGCACACTACGGTGGTGGCGGAGGTACACTTGCCTGAGGATGCCGGTGCCGGAGTTTCGGCCTCAACTTCTGGTCCGGTGTCCGAGGGTCCTGCTTCAGGTGCATTGCCTGCGTCGGATGGCTCCGGTTCTTCGTGGGCGGTGGTTCCCCCTGCTGTAGTTGGTGGTGAGCGGGGTGGCCTGGTAGTGATGTTGAGAAAGGATGCTCGCTCTGGATGTGCTGTGGCCCCTTCCTCGTTACCCATTTCCTCGGCAGCGGTCTTGCCGTCTCTTCCGTTTCCTGCAGTCCCTTCCGTGTCTCCTGCGGTATCCGTGGAAGTGCTATCGTCTCAGCGTCCGGCACCTGCTCCGATGAAGAAGGCGTGGCAGGCTCGGCGACCCTCGTCCGCTTCTCCGGTGTCATCTGCTTCCTCGAAGGGCGTGGTTGGCGCTCCCCAGCCTCGTTATGCGACTTGCGTCAGTGACCTTGGGCGTTGGCCGATGCCGCCGGATATAGTTGTCCCCGAGTTTATGATACCCGCTCGAGAGCGGGGGATCAAAAACCCTACCGACCTTGAAGATCTAGTCTGGGAAGCTTACAAGGCGAAATATCCTCATGATCTTTTCCCGGAGAAGTACATTTCTCACGAGGTTCCTCGCAAGTGATTTCTATGTATTTTGTGTTGCCTGGTTGTGGGGTGTGTATGTGAGTGGGTGGGGTGGGTATTGTTTCCCCGGTTCCTGCGTGCTCCGGTTTGTGTTGTGGGTTTTCTTGTATGGCTAGTGGGGGGGTGCGGTTCCTATGCGTTTGTGTGTTCGGTTGTGGATGTTGTGTGCGCTTGTTTGTCATCTTGTGTGCCCTTCAGGCTCTTGGGGTGTGCTCTTTGTTATGTGTGCATTATGTGTGTGAGGTGTTAGCAGACTTGCTTTGTATGTTTCTCGCCTCTCTGTTTCCCTTCTGTTTGTATTACGCTGTGTTTATATTTGTGTTATGTTTGTATATGCATTTTTGTTTTGTGGTCAGCCCTTCTGGCTGGTCTTCTCTTGATTTGTTCCTTTGTCAATTGTACGTGTGTGTGCTTTGTACTTTTGTTCTATGTTATATTTGTTCTGTTTTTATTGTACATTATACGCATGCTTGCATGTAAAAATAAAAATTAAAAAAAAAAACTTGTAAACCTCTATCATGTCACCCTTAACTCTTCGCCTTTCCAGTGAATACAACTTAAGCTTTGTTAATCTTTCTTCATATGAAAGATTTCTAATTTGGGGAATTAACTTAGTCATCCTACGTTGGACACGTTCAAGTGAATTTATATCCATTCTATAATACGGCGACCAAAACTGAACTGCATAATCTAAATGGGGCCTAACCAGAGCAAGATATAGCTTAAGAACCACACCAGGTGTCTTGTTACTAACGCTTCGATTAATAAATCCCAGTGTCCTATTCGCCTTATTACGAACATTCATGCATTGATCCTTTTGTTTTAAATTCTTACTAATCATAACTCCCAGATCCCTTTTGCAATCCAACTTCACAATCTCAACACCATCTAGCTCATATCTTGTAACCATCATCATTACCTAGCCTCAGAACTTTACATTTCTCAGCATTAAACTGCATTTGCCAATCCTTTGACCATTTCAAAACCCTATCTAGATCAACTTGAAGTGATAGCGAGTCCTCCTCCGAATTAATTTCCCTACCGATTTTCGTATCATCGGCAAATTTGCAAATGTTGCTACTCAAACCTGAATCTAAATCATTTATATATATTATAAACAACAGAGGTCCCAGGACAGAGCCTTGAGGCACTCCACTTACAACATTTTCCCACTCTGACTTGATTCCATTTATACTATCTCTGTTTCCTTTGGTATAGCCATGCCCTAATCCAGCTTAATATAGCACCCCCAATACCATGAGCTATTTTTTTAATTAGTCTTTCATGTGGCACTATCAAAAGCTTTGCTAAAGTAAGCAAGTAATTATCAAAAGAAGGCACCAAACCGGGAAGGCTATGTAGCACCATCAAATGCGCAAAATAATCAGAGGGCGCTAAATATCACCAAGGATGCCAATACGAGAACAAAAACGCATAAGGCGAACGATATCAAAAGTAACCGAGTCACCAAGAATTCTATTGAGGGACAGGTGACCGCGAGGGGCGGTCGGAAAGCAAGACACACGCTCCTCCTGGAAGTCAGGACATTCAAGAAGGACATGCACGACCGTAAGAGGGACAATGCAACTAGGACAATAAGGAGCAGGGCGGCGCTCCATTAAGTGACCATGTGTTAAGCGAGTATGGCCAATACGCAATCTCGCCAGAGCTGTTTCCCACCGCCGGTTACGGTGGAAGGAGGACGGCAACGAGGAAGTAAGTAAGTAAGTAATTATCAAAAGAAGGCACCAAACCGGGAAGACTATGTAGCACCATCAAATACGCAAAATAATCAGAGGGCGCTAAATATCACAAAAGATGCCAATACGAGAACAAAAACGCATAAGGCGAACGATATCAAAAGTATCCGAGTCACCAAGAATTCTATTGAGGGACAGGTGACCGCGAGGGGCGGTCGGAAAGCAAGACGCACGCTCCTCCTGGAAGTCAGGACATTCAAGAAGGACATGCACGACCGTAAGAGGAACAATGCAACTAGGACAATAAGGAGCAGGGCGGCGCTCCATCAAGTGACCATGGGTTAAGCGAGGATGGCCAATACGCAACCTCGCCAGAGCTGTTTCCCACAGCCGGTTACGGTGGAAGGAGGACGGCCACGAGGAAACACAACATTTAAGAGTACGTAGCTTGTTACCAGTATCAGACAACCAAGAAGCCTGCCAACGGGTAAGGACTGAGGAATGGATAACCGGGTAAAAGTCGGAATACGGAATGCCTTTACGAGAGATGGGACAAGAGCGGACAGCTTCCTTGGCGGCAGCATCCGCACGCTCATTTAAAGACACAGCAATATGGCTGGGAACCCAACAAAACTCAACCGACTTAAATTTACTGTGAACGAGAAACAGCCAATGCTGGATCTCGACAACTACTGGATGAACCGGATTAAAGGACCTGAGAGCCATGAGGGCACTACGAGAGTCAACAACAACTACGAAGGAAGACTGACAACGAGAAAGCAGGAGACGAAGAGCATAGAGAATAGCATAAAGTTCCGCTGTAAAGATGCTAGTCTCCAGAGGCAAGCGACGCATAAGTGCGATCAGGAAAAACAACAGAGTAGCCAACACCGTCCGCTGACTTAGACCCATCGGTGAAGACAGAAACGGAGCGGGAGTGAGAAGAAAAGTGCTCGAGGAAAAGGCGTTTTAGAACCGTAGGAGGGGTAAAAGCTTTAGTGATACGGGTCAAGGATGTACAAAACCGCGGAAGAGGG